TCATCATCATCTCCCCCCTCCCTCCCATCAAATCATCTCCCCCCGGCCCCCCTCCCAGCAGCTTCTCCTCACCTCCCCTGCCCTGTAGCGTGGCCGAGCTCCTATCCGGTCCACGACCCGGCGGACTGACAGGAAGTGCACACTCAGTGTGCACTTCCTGTCAGTCCGGCCGGGTCGCGGACCGGGTAGGAGCTCGGCCACGCTAAGTGCCGGGGAGGTGAGGCACTGCAGCAGCCGCCTGAGCGCTCTCTATATGGCGCCCTAGGCGGCTGCCAAGTTCGCCTTATAGGAAGCGCCGGCCCTGGCCTTATCTTATAGTTAGGATAGGCTTATGCCTATCCCACGCATGCTTAAACTCCTTTACTGTGTTAACCTCTACCACTTCAGCTGGAAGGCTATTCCATGCATCCACTACCCTCTCAGTAAAGTAATACTTCCTGATATTATTTTTAAACTTTTGCCCCTCTAATTTAAGACTATGTCCTCTTGTTGTGGTAGTTTTTCTTCTTTTAACCCCTTAAGGACACATGACGGAAATATTCCGTCATGATTCCCTTTTATTCCAGAAGTTGTGTCCTTAAGGGGTTAAATATGGTCTCCTCCTTTATTGTGTTGATTCCCTTTATGTATTTAAATGTTTCTAGCATATCCCCCTGTCTCCTTTTTCCTCCAAGCTCTACATGTTAAGATGCTTTAACCTTTCCTGGTAAGTTTTAGCCTGCAATCCATGAACCAGTTTAGTAGCCCTTCTCTGAACTCTCTCTAAAGTATCAATATCCTTCTGAAGATACGGTCTCCAGTACTGCATACAATACTACAAGTGAGGTCTCACCAGTGTTCTGTACAATGGCACGAGCACTTCCCTCTTTCTACTGCTAATACCTCTCCCTATACAACCAAACATTCTGCTGGCATTTCCCGCTGCTTTATTACATTGTCTGCCTACCTTTAAGTCATCAGAAATAATCACCCCTAAATCCCTTTCCTCAGATGTTGAGGTTAGGACTCTTTCAAATATTCTGTACTCTGCCCTTGGGTTTTTACGTCCAAGATGCATTATCTTGCACTTATCCACATTAAATGTCAGTTGCCACAATTCTGACCATTTTTCTAGTTTACCTAAATCATTTGTCATTTGGCTTATCCCTCCTGGAACATCAACCCTGTTACATATCTTAGTATCATCAGCAAAAAGACATACCTTACCATCAAGTCCTTCTGCAATATCACTAATAAAAATATTAAAGAGAATGGGTCCAAGTACAGATCCCTGAGGTACCCCACTGGTGACAAGCCCAAGCTTTGAATATACTCCATTGACTACAACCCTCTGTTGCCTGTCACTCAGCCACTGCCTTACCCATTCTACAATATTGGAATCCAAACTTAAAGATTGCAGTTTATTGATAAGCCTTCTATGTGCAACAGTGTCAAAAGCCTTACTGAAATTTAGGTAAGCAATGTCTACTGCACCACCCTGATCTATTATTTTAGTTACCCAATCAAAACAATCAATAAGATTAGTTTGGCATGATCTCCCTGAAGTAAACCCATGTTGTCGCTGATCTTGAAATCCATGTGTTTTAGATGTTCAACAATCCTATCCTTTAACGTTGTTTCCATTACTTTACCCACTACTGAAGTAAGGCATACTGGTCTATAGTTGCCCGACTCCTCCCTACTACCTTTCTTGTGAATGGGCACAATATTCGCTAACTTCCAATCTTGTGGGACTACTCCTGTTAACAATGATTGGTTAAATAAATCTGTTAATGGTTTTGCTAGTACACCACTAAGCTCTTTTAATAACTTTGGGTGTATTCCATACGGTCCCATTGACTTATTTGTCTTTACTTTTGACAGTTGAAATAAAACCTCTTCCTCTGTAAACTCACATGTAATAAATGGCTCATTTGTCCCTTTCCTTCTTTTTCATCTGTAAGTACTGAACAAAAATATTCATTGAGGCAGTCAGATAGACCTTTTTCCTCTTCTACATACCTTCCTTCTTTTGCTTTTAATCTAACTAATCCTTGTTTTACTTTCCTTTTCTCATTTATGTATCTAAAAAATGTTTTGTCTCCTTTTTTTTTTTTTACTGACTGTGTATTATATATGTTGAATAGAAGATCTCTTACTAACTATATAAAAGTATGGCTAAGATCTCTTTATGGTTAGACCTGCTAAGTTCTATGCTTTAAGACGTTATAGTGGTAAATAAGGAAACCAGCCGTGGTTACCAG